TTTCAAGGCCCAATCGCGCTTTGGGCTATGGCAGCAGCACCCGGGGCCCTGCGCGACGCCATGCAGCAGGCAATTCCGTCTGCAGCTGATGCTCATCTGAGCGCCACGCAACGCAACGTCCGCGGCCCGGCCTGTACTGTATACCGTAGAATTATTATTCGTGATTTGATTGTAATGTGAATCGGTCACTGCTGTTGGCGTCGCACCGACTCGATTCACCCATACTCACGACTCACGACTATACGTGACTGTACGCATGGAAGTCTACATACGCATGCAATCGGAGCGTGAGAGCACAAAATGCGTGGAACACCTGCACTCCAAATTCTGGTGCAGGTCAATCGGCGCCCTGCAGCTGTCATGGCGGTGAGGTCGGAATGGTCTTGGACTACATTCTCTTCACGATTCACGCAGGGCTCACTGACCATCACACGGTGAGTCGTGAGTCGCAAGTGGAGAGTGACGCTTCAAATTCATCGTGAGCATTCAGTGATCCTTAAGTCGATGCCCACTTCATTCATGTCCAACGATTCGAGAATCGCTCCGTGACACTTGTAGGGAAAGAAAATCCCATATTCAGCATCTCATTGGGTAAGAGATCTTCTGTGCTGATTCGTGCACTCGCAATCAAACGTGTCCCATCGTGTGCTCGTGCCCAAACGGCGCCATTGTAGCCTGACTTTCTAGTATCAGCTGGAGTAGCATGAGCAGCGCTCATTCTACATCGGCCTGCAGTCAAGTCTGGTTGCTCATGGGGCCGACGAGGCGGGCAAGCATGTAATTGCAATCGAGCACGGGGATGGGTAATTATATATGGCGTGGCACTTGTAGATCAAGTACAGAGGCGGATAAAGATCTGATTCAAGAATGCGTGGCGGATGCTGATCTTCCCCATGGGTGCAAGTGGATGATGGGCGGCAGATGAGTGGTAAACAGACGAGGACGAACATCGATGTGCGATGCTCGTCAGTATTCGAGTATGTAGCAGGCCATATCGAGGCTTGCGTGCTTATAGAGGGGCACTCATGCGCAATTAGGAGCGCCAAGGTCCTCCCGGACCAACGACAGTAAGACGCTCCTGTGCTCGGCGCAACGATTGACGGCAGCGAGCTAGTAGCTCTTCCTTTGCTCGCAGGGAGCGTGTTGCGGCCGTTCCGGTGAGCATGTCGAGATCCTGCAAGCGAATCATTGGAAGCATCTCCACCCAGTCCCAGAAAGCGCTAGGTCCTTCGCCGTCATAGAAGCAGTCGGCCTGACGTTCGAAAAGGCGCTCGACCGTGCGATACATGCAAGGTACCGAAGACGTCTTGATGGGCTCGTTATAGCAGTTTTGAGGATCGGGACGACTTGCTGCTTGGCAGCAACTGTGAGAGCACCGGTCCAAATCCAAGTCTGGCATCTCAAGGATGCGCAACTCTGCGATCTTGCACTCCTCTCTTGGCGCGTCATCGGATGGAGCTGAAGAAGATCCTGCGCGACGACGCTCTTGACGTCGCAGAGTGGCCAAGCTCTCACATGCGAGCATTCTCCACTGGTCAGCCCACCAGCACGCACATGCTGCACTAACGCCGTCCTTTCGGCAGATCAGGGAGACTGTTTCGAGGGTGGGGTGGGTGAGAAGGGCCGCAAAGAATGCTGGGTCCTCCTTGCACATGCCTCGGCAAATCTGATGCTCCTGCTCAAGCTCAGTCCGCTCGCGATTGCGCTCCTTTCCACTAGCAGCAGCAGCGGAGGCCTCGCGCCTCATGTCGGTCACGCAGTCTGGGCACGTTGGGACGAAGCTGATGGCCAGATGCTTCAATCCAGCTTTTGTGATATAAGATGGAGGTGGACGAAGTGCAAGAGGCCAGAATGGTGGAGGAGGTGGATACTCGCGGCGAACGAGAAGGTAGGCACATTGCATGCAATAGACGACGTGCACGTATTGAGGTCCCAGTCTTGCAGCGCTGGATTCGACGTCCGACTCATCTGGTGCTGAAGCAGCGGCAGCCTCTTCAGCGGCTTGGACGGCAGGCGGAATTGGTGCGAGAGGACTCGACTCGAGACCAAAGCGAGGGATGTGCGCTTCTACCGAAGGGTGAAGCAGCGAGAGATTGAAGGCGTGGGGCGGCGTAAGCATAAGAAGCTTTTCGAGGTTTGGGAGCTCGGCGCAGCACGTGTGCTCCAGCTCGATTTCCATTTCGCGCAACGTCGAGCGAGGCGTAGAGGGCGAGAGGGCGGCTACCATAGTCTGCACATCAAAGCTGTAATAGTCCAGACCTCCTTGGCTGAAGCGAAGCGCGCGCACAGCCTCGTTGACCGGCCGCGTGGAAGAGAGAGAGGCCAGACACAAAGCTTTGCAGAGTCCTGCTTCCTTTGCCAAACGTCTGCGCAGCGCCACGGGACTTGCGGATGCGTCACCGAGCTTGGGAGATCGATAGAGAGCAGATTGAAAGATGCCGTAGAGCAGAGAGGATGAGGATGCCAGGCTGGCACATATGTGCTGAGGAACAGCTAGCGATAGGCATTCTAGGACCAAGATGCGCAGCTCTGATGGCAAGCTCGCGATCGCATGTCGCATGAGCACATCTCGTCTCGATTCCCAGCAGGTGCTAGCGTCGAACAGGGCAGAGGCGGAGCGGGCGAGCTGAGCAGAAGCTGTTCGAGCCGAGGATTTGTAGCTGTGCGGGCTGCTCGGCTTCTTCTTCTTGAGGTCCCAGATGGTCATGGACGAGAAGGATCGCCGCATCAGCGCCGTGACGTCTTGTTCTGATTCGGATGTGTTGCATAGCCAGCCTTTGAGAGTGTCTTGAGAGGAGAGGCTGGAGCGTCCGTGATGAGACGCCCTGTAGAGTGCCGCCTCTATCGTCGAAGGTGGACCCCACTTTGGCAGCTCCTCCGGCAGAAAGCCAAGCGAGTAGGACATCTCGCTGACGTCTGAGGAGCGATAGATCAAGCAGTAGAGGTGTGGGCAGGACGAGTGAGGAATGAACAGGTCACGAGTGTTGAACGAAGACAGCAGAACGTCAGCAGTTGGTTCGAGAAACGTGGCGCCCAGATGGAGGTAAATGATGATGTGATGCTAAAATGTCATTCGAGTGTTGACTGTAGAGGCAAAGTTAGACAGACACCTGCTGGGCGCCCTAGCTATGACCGACCGATAGTGAGAAATTGACACAGCCTCAACGACTGTCTGTTGACTGTTCGCTTGAAGTCTCTCCACGCACCGATGATGCTGCCTCTCACGTCAGACGCGGGCGGACCGTCAGCAGCAGCGGTGCAGCGAATGGCTGGAATCGGGTTCAAACTTGCTCTGGCGGCACCGCATCGGTGCCTGGATGTGAATCGATCGAGTCGCAGAGGTGCTGTGACCGTTGGCGATGCATAGCTATGCGGCATGGTGGCTGGGGTCCGAACTTGCTCTGCTCAACCTGGCAGGTATAGCGTTGCTTATTGGTTGTCAATGTCGAGCCGCGTGCGACTCTTCTATAATAGGCAGCGATTGACCACCGCAAGCGGCTGGCCGGCGTCCAGCAGCATGCCTGCTGGGTGATTGAGACAGCAGGGAACGAGTCCGCTTCTAGGGGTCCATCCAAGATCAGGGGCACCTGGTCCACGAACAGACGCTGAAGCTTGCCATGCATGGACAAACGACATGAATAGCAACCCTGCCAGCCACGATCTTGTGATCATATCGTACCGAAATGGCCGTTAGATTGATGCGTGCTGATCTGCGTGGGCCCACTCACACGACCAAGGCAGTCGGCGTGGCAGCGCTGCTTGGTGGCAGCATCCACATACCGAGCTCGTGGTCACTGACTGACGACTTTTGGCTGGAGAGTAGAAGACGGATCGCATATCTGATCCAGCCGGTCGGT